ATCTGGACAGAATCTATTAAAATTCTCTAATAATCATCACTGGGCAGAAAGCCTAAGAAAATGGAACTTGCATTTTAGAGTCAAAAATATTCATCAGTGTCCTGGTAAACACTTCAAACATAATGTCTTATGTCTATCTGTGGTAGACTTTGGGTCTTTGTATCCAGGTCTGAGGTATAATGAGGTATGACTTTTGAAGTTGACAAATCTAGAACATAAACCTAATACATAGAGGGCCCAACATAAATGGGTTCTTCTAAATGCTAAAAACTGAGAATTAAGATGAATTCTCTCAAAATTTCCTTTGTTGATGTGAAGGTATTAGTTTCTGCTCAAAACACAGTTAATGTACCTGCAAATGACCTGATAATTTTTCAGTAACAACGAATTGAATTTAAAGTTGCCCCTTGAGATATGCTGGTGTTAGTGGAAAAGGATACTCAATTCTACCTTCTAACAAATAATATGTAAGATTTATCAACTGGGAGATTTTCACCAAATACATGTGTTTGGTTCCTATGGTTAGGGCAGTCAGCTATTTTAGCTCTACTGATTATAGCTGTTGAAACACGCACACAATTTTTAAACCTTTTAGTTTTATAAAGCAAGCAAATTCCAATGCATATAGCACCTCACCGTATTAAAAAATTTGGGTTATGCAGAGGTCAAATCACATTCCCCTTGTATAGTGATACCTATGGTAATTTCTACTGTAACACAGAATGCCTGGGAGACAGTTCTACTCACTCAACAGGTATTCCAATGAGTGCAACCCATACATCAGATGTTGTGATCCTTGTTCCTGACATCCCCTATTGTTATTTTTATATAAATGCTTTGAATAAAACACTACATTTCGGGTCTCTTCAGCAGATAAAATTTATGCCAATCAATTTGACTTTAAGATTTCCTCCTTATAATAGGAATCTTTGATATTATTGTTCTTCTGAACTATACTTTTGCCCCACTAGCTGGAAAATTCTACTGCTAAAGGTTTTTCCTAGTCCTGAAATGGCACAAATAAAGACACTGGGAACAGACAAGAGTCCAAGTCTTACAGAACAAAAGAGGAAAAGAAGAAAATGAGGGAGAATGATTCTAGAATGGCATTCGCACTTCTTGACATAACACTCCTTTTTGGGGGAAAAAAAAGACTCATGACTTACAAAGAGGACATTACAATTGCTAGATCACCAATCCAATAGGAATATAAATGGTAAGTGGTAGATCATATTTCATTTGGAAACCTTAACTGGCAGAAATTCTACCTTTAGAGTGGATAAGCCAAAAGAAAATAAATTACTGCAGGCTCCATAAAAACACATTTTAACAAAAAGGCAGGAGGAGGGGGAAAGGGAGAAGGAGAGCACAGCTTCCCAGAACTACTGTGTCCTGATTTCAAGGAGAAATTTTATTTCTTTACAATCTAATCTGCAATTTGCTAACAAAATGGGCACAAGACATTAACCTAGATATTAAAAAAGCAGTCAGTTAATACTACCTTGTAAACATACGCCTTCATTTTTCCACCAATGAAAATGATGAATAATATAAATGGAAAACAACAAAACAGGGTAGAATCCCTGATGTACTCTTAGGTAAAGGCAATGTGGTAGAGAGTAATAGGATTAACCTATCAGATACATCCGAACATCAAAACAGTTACCTTGGAAGGACAATCCTAATATGACCAACATTTCTTAGTATTCTTATGTTAGTAAGACTTTCAGAGCCTGTGCAAATTATTTTTAGATGTTGAATTTATCTCCATTCAATAATGTTCATGCACTCTGCAATTTCATAAACAGAAGAGTAGTCTTGGCCCTTGAGAAGCTTACAGTCTAGCAAAGGGCAGGGAGATAGGTACAGATTCTTTCATTATACTCTCAGCCCCTCCCCCGTTGTCCAGTTTATATTCTTGCCTTATTGGTACATAGTGGTCTTCCTTCGCTAGACAGGTAAACACCTCTGAGAGCAGAAACCATGTCAATTACCTTTGCACCACCTCCACAATGCCCCAGCAAAGTAATCTGCACAGAATGAACATTTAAACAAGTGTTGGTTTAGGGAGAAAAGGTCTTTTTACTTATTAATGACACTGTGCTCAGCAAAAATCACCATAAGGTAGGTTTGCCTTGAAACCTAAGCAAGGGCATTGAGTCACTGCAGTACCTAAATAAGCTTTCCTGCAGCAGTCCTCAGGTCAGCATTACACTGAGACTCGGGTTCTAGAGGTGTAAGAGCAGAAGCCCAGCTCACTCCCAGTGACTGTCTAAATGTTATTCGGCAATAATAGCAAGGCATGTAAAACATTTACATCCCTCCTGATTACAAGGGAGAGAAATGTCGCCTTCAAAAACTGAGCTGGTCTACCAGCTGACCACACTACTGTCTCACCCTGTTGGGGTAATTTTGAAGCCATCACTGGGAGTCTAGACGGTAATGGATACGTTCCTTCCTACAGAGTTCATTAGGATGGGTACCCAAGAGTAGAGTATTTGGAAAGACGGAACTTCATTACCCAGGGTGATCCTGGACAGGAGCATTACCTTACTGGATTCAGATAGCAAGCTTCTTTATTCTTGGTAATGACAGAATAAAGATACTATGCATAAAAACCAGGTCTGGACACAGTTAGCTGATTAGACCACAGAGCAGGCAAAAAAGAAAACAAAGGTTCTGAGTGTTTATCTTTTTTTTTTTTTTTTTTTAAGATTTTATTTATTTATTTCAGACAGAGAGAGAGAGAGCATGAGCAGGGGAGAGGGGCAAGGAGAGAAGCAGGCTCCTCTCTGAGCAAGGAGCCCGATGCGGGGCTCGATCCCAGGACCCTGGGATCATGACCTGAGCCGAAGGCAGACGCTTAACTGACCAAGCCACCCATAATAATAACACATAATAGATAGTCTGTATGTCATCTTGCTATGATGCTTTGGAAATAATTTAGAAAACAGAAGTCCATTACACAGTGCAAAAGATGATACTGGCAACCAGTGAGTAGTACGTATAATATTCAGAGCAGGCAGTAACATTTAGGTGGAAGAGGACAACTGAAATTGTCTATAAAGCCAGGTTACTATGCACCCTTGCAGGGAAGGGGCTGTCTGCTCCATCAGGCCCTTCTTAATAACCACCTTCATTTCAGGACCTGACCATATCTGGCACCAGGAAGCAAGGAAGGTTGGACAATGCAGAGAGGACAAAAATTCAGATCACAGCTCTACAGACTAGAACGGTCTCGTCTAAGAAGGCAACCACTAGCCATGTGTGGCTCTTTAAAAATGGTAGGGGATCAGAACCTCCTTAAGTCTCTCTTATCCAAAAAGTTGCATGAATTGCCAAAAACAAATAGATTTTTAGAAGCACCTACTTCCCCCACCCTTCTTCCCTTTAAATAAAATACTAAAGGCAAATGAAAACAAACAAAACACAGAAGAGAGGAATTCAAGAAAACTACTCAGAATAAAATGGACAGCTATCCTAAATTACTGCTCCAGGATGCCCAAGGGAAAAGTGCTGCAAATGAAGAACATTTCCAAAAATACACAGTGGGCACAGTTCAACAGATCTACTACATTAATTTAGAAAGTTACCGCCTCCTAAGAGGCCAAATGATTTGCTACTAACAATTTAAAGTACTGGGTTTTCATCAAGAGCACACTCTGGTTCAACTGTCTAATTCCTGGGCAAAAAACAAACAAACAAAAAAAACCAACCAGCAATCACCTACAACAGCTTCCATCCATGGCATTGGTAAATTCCTGAAGTCATCTGGTTCTAAGATATAAGCTATGTCTGATAGTGAAATTAAAGTCAACTACGTTACTTAGATTCTACTTATTAGAAATTCTCTGTATACGGTATTTTAAAAGTGAAGTAAAAATACACTTCTGGAATTAAAGTAGACAGTTTCAATTATATTTAAGAAAAGCAAACTAAGATTCACTCAAGAACCAGGAAAAAGAAAGCCAGTCATTTTCAGATACTGGATTCTATTCAAACACTTGTTCTATCAGTGTTTAAATATTTGCCTGCTACTTTACCATGCTATTGCTCTGTACCACAGAGGAAAATTTGATATCTCCGTGACAGAACAATTTGAATGCAAGCTAAAATTTAATCACCACACGAAAACAACAAAACTGGTAACCTATCAGCTTAAGTGATGAGTAGCTTATATATTTTGGGGAAGGGGGTTGCAAGAAAAAACTTAAAATGCAAGCCTTAAAGCCCTTCTTCAAGAAGGCATGATGTTGCCATCCCTGACCATTAGAGTCCGGGGTGGGGGGGCGGCTATGAGACAATGCTGACACGATGCAGTACACAGGGATTTGAGAAGCCAGGCAAGCTGCTACTCCATTTCATCATTACGAAAGAGATGCACAAGAATCAGACCTCTCCTTTCTGCACCCAGCATAATCCAACCTCCATAGGGATGTTCAGTAGTAGTTACCATCAGAAGTTATAAAGCCTCATGGTCCCCCTCCCTGTTGCCTAGCTTTGCCCCCTATAGTGTGCTCAATGTTTATTTACCTCCTCCTTCAAGATCTCAGTATTTCAGAATATAAAAGGAAGTAACATCTTAACCCTCTGCCCTTGGAAAGGCTGCACTCTTCTGTTACTTTAACTCATCCCCTTCCAAGGGGAAACTCTCCTTATTAAACAGAAATCACTGATGCACCTAAGCAAGGTGGGGAGATGTTCATTTAAACCTGGATAACTCCTATTTCTTCCTCCGGGTGAGGACAGTGTCATTGGTAACTGTTCAACTGAGCATTGTGAAAATTAAAGATCTCTAGGCCAAGAAAGTAGCCTGGGTCAGAAAGGCAGCTGATCTGAAACCTACCAAATCTGCAAAATCTGTTCCCCATTTCATGCATCCACAGCTCTACAGAATGTGTAAACAGCACCAGCAAACTGTGCTAGGAGGTCACAAGCTACAGACAGTGCGGGGAAATAGCTGGTTCCGGTTCCAACCAAAGGGCAGAGCTAAGGCATACCTTTTGGTCTTCTGGAATTTCCATTCTTTTGCTGTTCATCTTCCTCGTTAATGGTGAATAGACCAAGGGGAATTGGCCTTGCACTGGTCTTCTTCAGTCTCTCTTGTCGGATAGCTGTAGCGGATCCAGGCATACCGCGGCTACTTGTTTTTTAATTATTATTATATTAAAAATATATGCTTATGGAATTGCAGCTCCCAGGAAGCTGCTAGTTTCTAAGCGGCCGGTTCATTTGAGCACTTGTAATAGATCCCCTATGAGTAAACAGTGTGCAAACAGCTGACAGATACTACCAGCCACTTGGCAACTGAGGCCCTGCAGTTCCCCCTCACCTAGCAGCAACCCCCCCCACCTCCCCTCCACGCCCCCTCCCACTCACCCCCCCCCGCCCCAGGCATGTGGCTGGCTGGAGCTCGCTGCTTGCACACACGCTCCACACACACGCACGCGCACTCTCCTTCCGGAAAAGCCCCAGGAAAGGCACGCGGGGTCAGCTGCCTCCTTGCACGGCCTAACCTGTTCAGTCAGATCGCAGCTCTTCCCGCGGCGGCACCTCTCCCCAGGCTTCTCCCCTGCCGCCGCACAGTAAGCTATTCCGCACACGGCACAGAGGGCACCCCGCGATATGCCGCTGCTAACAGTTGCCCTGACAACCCTGCCCTGTCCTCCTCCAGGAGGCGTGGGCGCGGCTCGGCGGCTGCGGGCTCCGGGCTCCGGGCTCCGGGCCGGGAACTCACCGCGGAGGGCTGGAGCCCAGGGACCCTGGCCGGCGGGAGGCGGCCAGCGCGCGGCGCAGCTCCTTCTTCCCTTCCGCTCTACCCCGGCGGCAGCGCGGGAGGACAGACAGCTCGGCCTGCACAGGCGCCAGGGCACTCCCCGGGACGGGGACAGGGGCTCAAGGCAAGAAGGCTTTTTCTTCTTCGGGGGAGCTTTGGGGTTTTCAATCGGGACACTTTGCGAGTCCCTGGATGAGGGAAGGAAGGCATCGCTGGACCCCCACGGCTCACTCCGCACTCAGTGACACAGCCCAGCCTTCCAGACGTCCCTGCACCCCCAGAGTCTGTGTAAACACGGGGCGGGGGGCCCACCTGGCATGAAGACTGGCGCTGCCGTGCACCGGAGAGCAGGCAGGGGGAGAACCGGGCCTATTCTCCCAAAGACGACAGTTTGGAATACCCCTTCTGCAAGTCAAGTTGAAAGCAGAGAAACTACAATCCATCGAGGGGGGGGAAAAAAAATCCGCCTCACCACATCCAGGCAACTCCCCCTGCAATTCCCACTGCTCTGGGCCAGTCACTGCCCGCGGTGCTGAGCAATCCTCAACACTTGACCCACTTTTGGCTCTTTTTTGGATTGTTTTCTCCAAAGCATACAATCATGTGATTATTGTTTTCTCCTGAAATGAGCTATCTCACTTAAGACTCTGCACTTCCAGGCTGCCTGAAATGTATGCTGTATGTGAAACAAAAAATAAATGTACAGTAAGCGACACTGACAAATGCCAACTGACAAATTAAGAAAATAATTTTTGTTTTTGCCTCTTAATCAAAATCAAGTCTACTTAGAAAGCCCAAAGCCATTTCTCCCACCCCAGACCACCCTCCTACTTTTTCCCTCAATACTTAACCCACTTACCCAAGAGGGGACCCCAAGGATTCCATGACCAGTACCCTCTCTAAATCCTTTGAATGGAAGAGTAACTGCTGACAATTCATTAGCTTTTCTTGGTGCCTTAGTTTTTGCTATAAAATTGAGGTGACATCATTTACCTTATAGGATTGGAGAAAGGATTAAATGAGCATAGTCGTAGCAGTAAGAAGTACTTAACAAAAAGTAAAAGCAAGTGATATGAATAAGAATCGTTACTTTTTTTAAAGTAATCTCTACCCCCAACACGGGGCTTGAACTCACGACCCCAAGATCAAGAGTCGCATGCTCTTCCAACTGAGCCAGCCAGATGCCTCCCTGCTTTTACTTTTTATAATACATCTGTTCTAAGTAGTCCATTTTTGCTTCATATTTAAGGTGTTTCCACCTCAACTATCGACTCTATTAAAGAAAAGTTCTATTTTTTTATCTACTAATATTGCCCAGGCCACTGCTGGAGATGTACTGGATGCTTAGCAAATCTACTCTGGGGAAACAGAAACAAAAACACCAAAATTATAGAAATCTTTCCCTTGAAGGCTGGGGGGATTTAATTAAGGTTAACATGCGTTAGATGTGTAGACTGGGGAAATGTAGGAAATTTCAGGTATTAAGTTTACTTAAAATCATGGTCATCTGTGTGATAGGTATTTGGAATAAAAGTGAATGGGATTGAAGAGCTGAGCAGGTCTGAGAAAGCATCTACATCAGCGTTTTTCATGCAAGGAAAACCGAGGCCCAAGAGGTAAGATTCCTTGCCCAGGTCAAATGTTAACTGGCAGTAAGATTAGAGTGGACATTTAGATCTCCTTCTCCCTAGTCCAGTGCTTTTCCTTATGACAGATATTTGGCCTACACAGTTCAGAATCCTAGATCCCTCTCTCCAGCTTCTACAGAGATGTGGAGAAGGAAGGAAAGAAAAGATCCATGCCTCGAACATGCAAGATCTTGTTGTTTAAGAAATAAACAGTAGATACAGTGTACTTCCATAATTCTACTTGGTAATTCCATTTGGTAATTCTATTTCTGAATTGAAGATGATTTGTTATTTCCTATTTCTTTAATCAGATGATCAATAAACATAGTCCATTATAATATAGTTATGAAAATCTTTTCAAATCTAGTTTGTTTCTTCTACCTTCCAGAGAATCGGGTTAGTACTTACAATGGCAACACACTCACACACAGCTGAAACTACCTTTTGGCAGGAAAAATGAAAAGCTATGTCTCAAATGACAGATTTCATTTAGAAAGACTCCTTACCCAAATAAAACTAATAGCTTCTGACCATCTCCATGAAATTTAACAAAAGTATTCCTGAAAGAGGTAAAGCTAAGGAAAAAGGGATCTCTTCCTTCATCTTCTAGATGAAAAAAGGAGGGGATTAATATTTTATGAAGTATCCTAGGAGGACAATGAAACACCTTTCTAAGAGTGGCTTTTAAAAAAGCAAAGTGAAAGCTGAAATTCAAATGACTTCTGCAGAAGATGTACATTACTTTCAAGGATGGCCTGGATGGCTTTAAAGCTTTTATAGGAGAAATGCAGCAGCAAAGCAAAAGCTTCATGGTCTTTAACTTGTCCAGATAAGATGTCACAAAGGAGCCGTCCTTGAGGTCTGTGGAACGGAGATCACAGGACAGCCCCTCTGGGACACAGAGGACTGTAACTGAGCCCACCTCTACCACACCGAGCCAATCACTAGTTCTCCTCTTCTGTTAACTGCACTGGAATATCCCTCAAATGACAAAGACGGCATTCTTCATGCTCTAGCGTGAGAGGTCTCATGGAGAATTTTGATTTGTATCAAAATGTGAAAGTCACCAAAATGGCTGTTTTGAAAATTATGCTTAAACCATTTACTGGGGAAATGAAAGCCTAATCAAAGGAGGCCAAAAGTCACCACGGCCTACAAATCGATGAGGCAGGGGTGGGGTCAAGAATTTCATTATCTAGTAACGTCTCCAACTTTGTCAGATGCTGTGCGAGGTGCGTTAGGTAGGTTACCTGTGTTATTCATGATAGCACGGGAGAAGAGTCATCACCTGACAGATCAGGAAACAGAGGCTAAACCTAAAAACAGAGGTTAAAGTCCCCCCGCTAGTTAAGTCACTGAGTCAGGATTAAACCATGGCCCATCTGCTCTAAGGCTAAGATGCTTTTCTCCTGCTGCTTTGTAAATCCTGACTGCAACAGCGACTAGCTGTGTCCCAGTCACAGCTGTGACCAGTCACAGAGAAGCAAACAGCCCAAGATCAAATAATCATAATAAAGGAGTTTTTTTTTCCTATCCATGAAGTACACATTTAAGACATAAATACATTTGAGATTAGCTTCCTAAATGCTCAAACCTAGTGTTTAATGGATATAGGTGTTTAACTCTTATTTAACTTCAGGAATACTGGAGCTGAACCCCTGCAGAGGCATGGGCCTCCAGTCTTCTCCCTTTTATACTCGGACCCAAAACAAAAGCAGATGTGGAAGGGGGATGGCAAGACCTTAAAGTAAAAGGAATCCTACTCTGAATTCCTGAGCTCTTCCCCAGCACTAAGAAGTGTTTTCAATTTGATGTGGCACGTGTGTCCTTGAACGTCACTTGCAGGTACAGTCCCCATGGGAACCAGGGTATGCAGGCTTCCAAGAGTCAATGAGGTTTTGCAACTGTTTCAATTCTTAAAATAATAAATGATTTTTAATGGAGACTTTGTACAAAGTTGGAAGAAATGAGACATTACCTAGTGCGAAAGGGTAGGTTTTACAACTAACCTGGCTTTATAGAGAGAAAAATGTTCACAGTATAATCATAAAATACAGTGACAACTGTAAGTGGAAATGATACCACTCGTCCACCATGAATGAAACAGCCCACTAGGCTGTTGAGCAACTGCTGCCCCCACCAATTCCCACACCCAGCCCTAGTCCCTTAGTAGGCAATGAATTTACATGTGTCCTACTACCCTGGCTGCCGAGCCCCTCAGGCCTGCCTCCAACAGTGAGGCAGGTGAATATAAAACAGAGTCAAACTAACTCATCAGTAGGGGAAGTCGTCTTGTGGTTTGGACCTGTCACAATGTTCTAGGAGACTAAACACATGCAGGCACGTGCACACACACACGTAAGCTTCAGGCTCCTACTCACATGTATCCTTCCTAAGCTTTTATTTTATGGCTGTTTTTATGTCCGTGAGACTGGAAAATAGCATACAGTCCGCAAATGAATTTAAGACTAGCCTCCTGCAAAGAGCAATCTGTTTAAGCAGTGAGACGCATACCTAGATTTTCCGTTCTAAAAGCCTAGTGAGCTTTACAAAAACATTCTTGAAACAGGAAAGAGCCTGACTGGTACTTATCAAGGACTGTAGCTGAAAACAGAAATTACTACTGCTGGATTGAACGGCCACTCACCGGTAAATTACAATTCTATACACATGTAAGTTAGTTACTTTTCAGCAGGGGCCAGAAGTGCCAAACTGCCTTTTCCTATTTCTACATTATGATTAATATGTAGATGATTAATTCTTCAAAACTACTGGATTTCAGTAATCTTTTAAATATTTAATGCATTAACCACTCCTCCCCCGAGGTAAGCTGCAATTTACTTCTAGTAGGACTTTTGGAAATCCACATTTTCATGCAATATTAAAAAGAAAAGAAAACCTTCAAATGGTTAC